ATTTGTGTTTTTGTATTCTGGTTTTACTTGTTTTATTGGTTTTAGTCTGTTGTTCTTTTAACACTTTTATATTTTTTTTACTTCATATACACGACTATTTTAGCTTGTGTTTTTATTTGTTTTTATGTGCAGCGCTTTGGTCAATTGTAATGCCATGTTGAAAGCGCTCTACAAATAAAGTGGTATGGTATGGTAGCAAAAAATATAAATAAATAACTAAAAAACATGTATTGCTTACATTATCACAGACATGGTAACATAATCACTTTTACAGATTTCTGAAAAACCATACATAATTTCTGAAAGTAGAAAACTCCGGAAAGCTACTTTAAGGTTCCTAAGAGGACAGTGGCCTCCATAATCCATAAATGGAAGATGTTTGGGACGACCAGAACCCTTCCTAGAGGCTAAACTGAGCTACCGGGGGAGAAGAGCCTTGGTGAGAGAGGTACAGAAGAACTCAAAGTATGGCAAATTAGCAGCTGAAGGAGACCCTCATCTAAAATTAACATTTGACAAGAAGCCCACAGAGAAGCACGTCGTCTCGCTAACGTGTGAAGTACAATGCCATTAGAACAGTGTTTGTTAAAACTAAAATAATTATGGTTTTAATGTTACTTATTGGCCAAACTGAAGCAATAAATCCATGAGAATTACTTAATCGAGGTGAACAAAACAGTGATAAGTGAATTTAACACATTGTTGTAGAGATTAAACTACACACTAGAATCAACACTGTTTGCTATCAGTTGTTAGATTCTGAAAATGACCAATCAGATTAACCTATGAGGCTTAGACCATGTATAAATATCCCGGATACTTATATATCGATCTAAGTTCATACACCAACCTGTTTGGTCTCATTTTAATCCAAGGATTAAGGTTTAATTTAGATAATTAACTTTAATAGCAAAAGTTATTTTGAATCAGAAGCTAGGGATCTTTGCTTGTCAATAACCAGAAATATTATACTTTTTCTGTGTTCTAATTCAATAATGAGGCAAGTTTAAAAATGAAGAAATTTTATTTCTAACAATTTTAAACTTAAAGATTTGAAATGACAATTATAAATGACAATTCGTGGATAACAATTTAATGACAATTTTTAACAGCTTTGAAATTAAACTTGTTTAAAAGCAAACCTGTGGCTGGATGGAAGCTAAATTGAAAATACGAGTTTGGATGCGTGAATGGAATTATCAGGAGGTTTCTTTCAGAGAGAGAAGAAGCATTCTGGATGGAAATGATGTTTTGCGGCTAACTGAGTCTTTCACTTAGAGAAAATAGCATCAAACGCATTCCTGTGTTCTACCTCACCCAAACAGGAGACCCTCTTGTGGATCGGGAGATCAGGAGGATGTGTTCATCCAAGATGACACTCGGTCCGGCAGGGAAGACGCGAGTGTCCGATCCTCTGGTCCAGAGATGTCCCGAGTACACAGTTGTCGAGATTTGGCAGATGGACGTTCTCGTCTTAACTCAACTCAGAAATCAATGACTCTGGGTAGAGTTTGCGTTAGCTGGTTACAGTTTAGTTTATTCTTAACTATTCTTGTCGGCATGACAGGAACAGCAGGTGGAGGTTTTAGGGACGGCCGTTCCCTTCCTCCGTGGTGTTGGTTCAAGAACTGAACTGAAGCTGGTGATGGTTACTGTTTACAAAGCTCTCAGGACACTCCCACTGTCTCAGCAAGAAAGCTTGGTCATGCGTCAAAAACATGTGTTGCAGTTATCATTCATCTGGACTCTGTGTTAGATGGATAAGGTGAACCTGACCTTCTTTGCTGAACACATCTTTTACTGTCATCAACCATAATCATCTTAATCATTATTATACCCAAAGCATAAATTCATTTCATGTAATTAAAATACCTTTATGTTGAACCAAGTGATCATTAATGATGATTTTCATAAACAGTAATAAAATCAATGAGTTTTATTAAGCATTATTATCTAATTATTATCATCCTGAACTTGAAGTGTCCTTCTCCTGGGACGGAACAGCAGCAGATATGGATATGTTCTTCCAGACATCATGGCTCCTTGATTAATCTGTGGATTTAAAAGTACTGTTTGACCCAGCTTGACCCAGCTGGGTAAATGTGACCTTTACCACAAATTAGAGGACCTTCCATGATGCAACATTGTGTTAAACTAGATGAATTACCTCAAGCCTGATAGCTTTTCCTGAATGCTGTTTCTTGTTTGATAGTGATCAGAATCAGGTTTGTAGTAGTGTCATAAAATGATTTTTATTTTGTTTAGGAAATTAATTTTTATTTTGTCCTTGAATTATATGCAAAGATACATTTAATGAGGAGAGGTCAGGTAAGAGAGGTGATGTAATGTAAGGACACGTACAAAATGAAAAAAAATTACCAAGGTGCGCCGCCGCTACCAAGCCACAGATTGTAGTTCAGCTCCATGTAAAATCCCATTGACAGTGCAGATGTTCACACAGCAACGTCACCTTCAGCTGCTTCTTCTGAGTCTGGTTAGGCTTAGTCATGGCAGAAAGCACTCGCCATACCCATTGATCAATGTGGCTGAGCTCCAGAGATGCAGTCAGGAGATGGGAGAAAGTTGTAGAAAGTCAACCATAACTGCAGCCCTCCACCAGTCAGGGCTTTATGGCAGAGTGGCTTGCCGGAAGCCTCTCCTCAGTGCTAGACACATGAAAACATGCATGAAGTTTGCTAAAACACGCCTGAAGTATCCCAAGATGGTGAGAAATAAGATTCCCTGGTCTGATGAGACCAAGATAAAACTTTTTGGCCTTAATTCTAAGCAGCATGTGTGGAGAAAACCAGGCACCGCCTATCACCTGTCCAATACAGTCCCCACAGTGAAGCACGGTGGTGGCAGCATCATGCTGTGGGGGTGTTTTCAGCTGCAGGGACAGAACGATTGGTTGCAATCAAGGGAACGATGAATTCAGTTAAGTATAGGAAGATCCTGGTCAAGAACCTTCTCCAGAGTGCTCAGGACCTCGGAAGGAGCCGAAGGTTTACCTTCCAACATGACAAAGATCCTAAGCACACAACTAAAATAACAAAGGAGTGGCTTCACAGCAAATCTGTGATTGTTCTTAAATGGCCCAGCCAGAGTCCTGACTTAAACCCAATGGAGCATCTTTTTGATGAGAATGAAAAATGGCTGTCCACCAACGTTCACCATCCAACTTGACAGAACTGGAGGGGATCTGCAAGGAGGAATGGCAGACGATCCCCAAATCCAGGTGTAAGAAACTTGTAGCATCTTTACCAATAAGACTCACGGCTGTATTAGCTCAAAAGGGTGCTTCTACTAAATAGTGAGAATAGGGTTTGAATACATAGGACCATGTGATATTTCAGTTTTTCTTTTTTAATAAATCTGCAAGAGTTTCTACAAATCTGTGTTTTTCTGTCAGTATGGGGTGCTGTGTGTACATACATGAGGAAAACTATGAATTCAATTGATTTTTAGAAAATGGCTGCAATATAACAAAGAGCGAAAAATTGACAGGGGTCTGAATATATTTCGTACCCACTGTACAGCAATTTCTTACCCTTATCCAGATTAACACACAGTAGAGCTCAGGCATCAATTCCCCGTCAATAGGAGTAGTTCAGGAAAGAAAAAATACAGTTAAACCACCGTTTATTTTGTTTTTATTGGTGGTCAATTCATATGTGTGTGACTTTAACCTGTAGGTAAAGTATTACAACTGTACTATTGATTTTCTTAGAATGAATAGAACGTTGTCTTGCATGAAATACAGAGGCAACACAGCTTTTATGCTGGCAAATGCAATCATTCTTTTACCTCTTTGACCTGGTGTGTCTCCTTGTTTGCAGATTTTACAGCCATAATCCATCCTGGAGCTTTGCTCTCTGACATACGGAGCTCCTGGAGTGACAAAAGAAAAACCTTAACATGAATAATGACTCCTAAATGAAGGGATCGTCATCAATCTAATTAAGGGTGTGTGTGTGTGCGTGAGGGGGGGTTGATCAGTGTGATGATGTCGGGAACCTGATCCCTTACGTTGGAGCTGATTGATCAGGGATAATCTCTGAATCAACCTGTCGGGGATAAGCACGTTAATCTGATGCAAGTGTCCAGTCAGACTCACTGTTCAAATAGTAACGGATGGTGGAGTTGGAGAGTGGGGGGTCAGTTTGCATTTTGTTGGAAAGTGTATTAACAGGTGGCTTTTGAAAACGCATGCTGCGTGCGTCAGAGCTCGGTGGTTCGTTTGCTCTTTAGCAACTGGCCTCACACTGATAACAGAAACATGGGCTGAGAAACACGTGGTGTCGAGAAACGGTGACAAAACATCAAGAATATGACAGGTTAATTTGGTTGGGTCGTTACACAAGACCTAGGGATGCACTGAGACCGTCCCCAGTGGGTTTGTATACGGATGCATGACACTTGTGCATTTTGCCTTATCGGACACTAAAACTTTAATGTAAAAATTAACATTTATGTGTGCATGTAAGCATATCAGCAAAATCATTTATGAACCCCTGGATGGACTTGAGTGAAACTCTCAGAGAGTAAAGACTGGATGCGCATTTACAAGTGACTGGCTTCTGGAGTCCACCCAGCTGACACAGCTAAACGACATTAGCAACTACAAAACTGTCTAACTTTGTCAGTTTTCCAGGCGTTAGCTAACATTTGGTGCGTGAGAAACTGGGAGTTATTAAAACACTCCAAGTGCTCTTTTTTCAATTCTTTTTGACTTTACATCTAACTTTGAATCAAACATTCAGAATGCAATCCATACACATTCATCTACAACTGGTCAACATCTGGGATTAACCCAAATTGGGATGGCTAACACGGCTAATCAACAGCTATCAATCAGTGTGCTTTTACAAGTATGAATCTATACTTTGCTGTTGTAGAAGCTATGAGTTGTTAACCCTCCTACAGGGATAAACCATTAACCCTGCTCAACTGTTACCTTTCCTGGAGGGGTCACCTGACAGGGCAGTGGGAGGGTTTAAAGACCCCAGTGATGCCACCGATCTCATGATTGTGAATGGAAGTCCTATCAAAATGAATATTAATGTTTCTAATCATGGCCTACAAACTGGTTAATGGGCTTTCAATTCACAAACAGATTGAGGGAATCTAGAAGATAATAGTTTTTTAACTTGTTATTGTTTCTTTCTACCCATCATCAATCATCGTCCAATCATCTGAAGCCAGCTGAATACAGAAGGCTGACATGTAACCTGGTGCTTTTCTCTGGTCACCACAGAAGTGCAGAGCTCAGTTCATTGTTGCCAAAAATGTCAGCAGGAGCACTCCTCCTCCTCCTCTTCCAGCTGGGATGCACCACCCCGCAGAGTGTCCCGCCGGGCAGCAGGGTGGATGGGACGCAACGCGGTGTGGCTCAGAGGCTCAGACTGGGACTGAGTGATGTCGTCCCATCTCTAGCTGTTACTCCACACAGGAAAGCGCCTCAGTTCATGTTGGATCTGTTTAATGTGGTGTCACTAAGGGAGGGGACACAGAAAAGCCTGAAGGACCTCCTGGACGGAAACATAGTCCGTAGCTTTGAAGATAAAGGTACGTGACGACAGGAATTTACGCACATTTGCTTTTTTATTGAAAGTGTTAATGTTGACCAAAAGTGCCACTAATGCATGCAGGTTTATTTATTAAGGGAGTTTCTTCAAATATAGGCAATTTATTGTGTTTTACTTAAATCCATAGGTCCTGTTGGAGAGAAGATTCACCTTTTCAACCTGTCTTCTTTGGGCCGAGGGGAGAAAATCGTTAAAGCGGAATTACGCTGGTTCAGACACAAGCACAGGACTTTGCGTGACCAACACTTCCATCAGGTAACCTACTTCATATTTTTTTTCTCTCTCCACCACCTTTAAACAGAGTCAGATTAGCCACAACTTGTACTCAAACAGGAGGATTACTTCCTAATGGTGTTCCTCACAGAAAAGTAAAAGGTGCAAAAGAGTACAACTACTACAATATCTTCAGTTATTTAAGTACCGCCCATCTCTGCTTTTAAATTCAAACCATAGTTCATTTCAGCCAAAGTCACCTAACAGAACTTGTGTCTGACTAAAAAGTTGAATATTTTTCAGATTGTTGTCAAGGTAACAGCTTAAATGTGTGGATGTGAGGTTTGTCAACAAACATGGTTGTGTTTTAACCGTGCAGGTGGATCTATACGAGGTTCTGGACAGCAGAGTGAAACCACTGAGAGGAAACTTCATCACCTCCAGACTGGTGCCACTTCACACTCCAGGATGGGAAGTCTTCAATGTTACACAGATGGTCAAGTTTTCTCTTTATGTTTAAAATGTCTTCCAATCATATTTTATGTACAGTAAGAGTTTTAAACCTCTCCTGAGGGATTCAGTTAAAATAGTTTAATTCAGTCCACCCAATGTCCCCTTTCTGCAAGAGCAGGTGAATATTCATGTAATGGAGTTGTGCCTTTAAGCTTTGATTACACTCAGGGTGAGGAGGATGCTCAAGATCTGACTGAACCCTTTGAAACATAAAACTTAAACCGTAAACTTGAAATATCAGGTGTCCCGATGGATCTATAACAGCCAGGAGAACCATGGCATCCTGCTGGTGTCAACCTTCCCACCTGATGGCTCAATGGAGTCAGAGTTCTCCTCTAACCAGCCTGGAGACCTGATGGACACCAACACCTACCTGGTAATAATCTCAGATGATGGGAGGACAGAAGCTAACCAGTCCCACCTGGGTATGATGTGGAGTTGTGTTTCAAAAGCAAAGCATTTGAGTAATGATTGTCACTAAACATTAAACACGGTCTCCATCCTCCCACAGGACTCACCCCACCTGCAGCATCACCTGAGCCCCAGCACCTCCTGAGCAGGAGACGACGTGCATCCTCAGATTTCTCAAACCACAGCCTCCCACGGTCCTGTCAGCGAGTTCCCCTCTTTGTGGATTTTGAGAAGATTGGCTGGTCGGGTTGGATCATCTCTCCCAGTGGGTACAATGCCTACCAATGCAAAGGCTCCTGTCCATTCCCAATGGGGGCGGGCCTCAGAGCCACCAACCACGCTACGGTGCGCTCCATCATGCATGCCCTCAGGCTCTCAGGGGACCAAGCGGGAGCGCCCTGTTGTGTGCCTGACAGGCTGCAATCCATCAGCTTATTGTACTTTGACGATGAGGAGAATGTGGTCTTGAAGCAGTTTGATGACATGGTGGCGTTAAGCTGTGGCTGTCATTGATTGACTTTGGGAGGCTCAAGCACTGTTAAAGACTGGAGGAAGGGAGCTGATGAAAACACTTATTTATGTTGAAATATTGTTTTATTTTGAGAAATAAATATACAAAAATATTCTGTAGTAATCACAAATGCTTGGTCCAGTAAAGTCCATTGATACTTACCACGAAAACACAAATTACAGCATTTTCACCCGTCGGACAAGGGACTAAATGGACTTATGGTGCCATCCATTTCTCTGTCACTAGATGGTGATGTTGTAAAAAAAAATAATACATTTCTTCTTTAAAGTAATAGTCAGCAGTTTCCTGCCCCTCTGACCTACTGATTGAAAGTGGAATTACAACTGTTGTAAGCACCCCTTTAGCAAACTGCAGTAGCTAGCGCTAACAACAAGCCAACGCTAACATGAACCCGTTAATACCACAAAGTAAAAAGATCCACACTGTTGGACAAAAAATATTATTACTTATAAGTTCCATAACAACAAAGTCAGGGCACCATCAGTCAGTGTTTTTGTATTCTCCTTTAGCTCCTTCAAACTAGTGTTAGTCGTGTTTACTCCGGTTTTAGCTCTTTGCTTTGCCTCCAAAGACATCACTCTCTTACTTTTCCTTCCAAAACTCTCTAGTGCTGTTTTTGGTCAGCAGTGGGCTGCAGAGTGGTGTCAAATATAAAACTGGTCAAGTTTGTAACTCAAACATGACTGAGATCAATGTTGAAGCTGTAGCTTAAAGCTTAAAACTATCTGTTTGTACTTTATAGCTGAAAGTCATTAGCAGCTCAAAGAGCAGATTTAATAGATCGGGCCAAATGTTGTGATGTGTGAGATCAAGATTTGATCAAAACTGTTTAACCCTTTAAGGCCGGTGAGAGCACCGGCACTCCCGTTTGCATATCTGTGTTCAAATGCTTGTAGAACTGAAACTATATAAGATAGAACAAAATATGTTTTGCATATTAAACCAGAGGAGTTACACTATTATCTCACACACTGATCGGGTCCCAGAGCGCTGCGTATTTCCACTAATGAGTTTGCAAAAACAACCAAAATGCACAAATAAGAAAAGTGTTTTCATTCAGACAGACGCTGTGTCGTTCTGATCTGCAGCTCACACGGCTTCACACGCTGGAACAAACAACATCACGTTGTCAACGTGAACTGTCACATGATTATCACTCACCCAATCACCTGCTTTGACGTCATTTTCCTGCAAATTGTAGTTCTTTGTAGTCCCAGTCTTTCGGCTTTTTCTTGTGCTTTTTCACAATAATACGTTTAGACAAACACATCCTACACACACACACACACACCCACTACAAACTCCCGACACACACACATCACACACCCACTACAAACTCCCGACACACACACATCACACACCCACTCCAAACTCCCAACACACACACACACAAACACACACACACACACACACACACACACCACTACGTTTTGATGACTCACGGACCCGCCAAAGGATACATCCTCCCTCCTCAAAGCGGTTGACGCCATTACAGCGCCGGAGGATGTTTAGGTTTCACTTTCAGATTCATCACGTAAATATTCATGCAATATTCTTCATTATTATTATTATTATTATTATTATTATTATTATTATTATTATTATTATTAGTGCGAGAAAAGGAAAACTATATCCTACTGAAACATTAGTTGCAAATATTTTACATTATTTTGTTAGACTCCTGCTGATTATTATTATTTATGTTTTTGTTACAGTTTATATAAATGAGTGTATCTCAGAAACTATTTTATGGAAGCACTTCAAATAAATTTGTGGTTGTTCGAAAGGAGTGTGTGCAACTTTTTTCATTGACAATTTTGAAGGATAAAGCTGTGGCATTTCTGTATAATGAAAAATGTGTGAACACAAAAAAGATTTACAATTTCTGTATGGATAATCACATTTTTTAGTAAAATATTTTGTTGCTATGAACATTTTACATTTATATAATTAAAATTTAGAATGTAAGGCTTGTATTGATGTATAGAAAGTTGAAATGCTCCAAAAAATAGCACCACAGCACGTAAAAATGTAAATATAAGTTCTGGCGAACTTGTTTTATGGCAGGTCTTAAAGGGTTAAGCTCTAGTGTTTTTCAAAATAAAACTATTAGATATATGCACATTATTTTCCTTCTAAATTTTTTCTACAAAACATGTTTATTTCTATGTGTTATTTATTGGTTGGGCCTTGTTTTGCATGAATCACAGCATCATTATGCATTATACAGCCTGGCCTGTATGCAGAGGGATGTAATTGTGTTCTACGTGTAAACTTATTATTAAATACAGTTTTTCATAAATATTCATTTGTCACTCAAACTGGACAATTGAGCTGTCTATGTGTGTCATCGATACTGTGGTTTTATCCTAACTTGTTAGTTAAAATGCTTTGTTAAAGTTACTGACTTTAGAAAATAGAGAACCCAATTTGCATCATCACTGGAGTTTACAGACGCTGTTATGTGTTGAAAAACAGGTGGCAGCAGAGAGTTGATTCTAGAACCTCTAAACCTGAGTGGAATTTTTAATTCTTTTTACCTGAAATAAGAACAAAGTAAAAGTAAATGTAGTTTCCACAACACTGAATCAAAATGAACTCTAACATCACATCCTATTGAATCATTTTTCAAGGTTGGAGATTGGTGAAGAGATAAGTAAAAGCACAATAAAAGGAAAACCTGTTAAAACAGCTGTTTCTTTTAATTGGAATGGATCACAGACACAAGACAGCTCTGCTTGACTCTAGCTGAGGAAAATACCAAAGGCAACAACTTTACAACACCAAGTCCCCTTTAAGATATTTACATACAAAAACATTATGCATAAGTACCAGTTCAAACCTCTTCGTACACATTCAGTGGGTGCAATTCTATGTTTAACATGCAATCTGTTTTAAGTTGTCTATTATACAAACACTTTTAAAAGTTCTTTTGAGTAGATTCAAGTAGTGGGAAATTATCTTAAAATGATTTGGTGAAAATAGAAGCCTCAACAAACTCACCAGTAAGAAAACAGAAGTCATGAGGCCTCAAATGTAGATCAAACAGAAGACAACAAACCATTCAGCATTTACAACAGATTAAACATTTCACATCCCGTATTGCCTCTGTTTACACGTATTACCCATGTTGTTTCTTCTGTCCTAAAAATTAAACATTTTCTTATAATATTTCTACCAATTTTTATACAATTGACTTTCACATTAAAGTCCTATAGTCTTTTATTTGCTCTATGTTTATTCTTAAGTGGTTTTCCATTTAAATCCCATGAAGGTCAAAGTTGAATCATAAAACCAGGACACCTTTCATGTATGATCAAAGTTCAAAGTAAAGCAGAACAAAGTCAAAGACTCAAAACTTTAATAAAGCTTGAAAAACACCCTTTAAATATCCATCCCATAATTATGCACTAGGATCTACTTTGCATCTCTAGGGCCATTTTAGGGGTGCTTTTAATGCATACCCTTCTTATCCTGCCAATCAATTTAGTGGCTGCAAAAATAGTATTTAGAATTAAAAAAAAATTTGATTAGCAAGAATGACCTCAAAATGTGTGTTTTAGTTGTATTGCTTAACATCTGGAAGTGGCAGAAGATGAGGCAACGTGACGATAAGGTGAGCTGAAAAAGGACTGTACCATAACACAACATCATAAAAATACCTCCTGGTTTGCATCGGACACCACAGATCAATGCAGCTAACATCTCATCAGCTAGGACAGTCCAGCTCCTCTGTGCCCATGAACTCCCCTAGCATGTGGTCATGTTGACCATAGACAGGCTCTAGATATGGATATCCTTCTTTACAGTGCATTTGTCTCGCCCTTTCCCCGTGCCTCTGCTCTAAATCCTCCAGTTCTATTTGTTGTGCCTGGATGGCGGTATTCTGAGCCATAGGGGACAGAGGAACAGGCACAAATCGGTGGTAAACAACCATCGGTGGAGTTAGGACTTCCATGTGGGGACCTTGAGGAACCATGCCCTCTGTTGGCTGGACTGGCAGCTGCACGTAGCTTCCTGTACGAGGATCAATAAAGGTCTTTGTCTTGATTTGCACAGGTAAGTCAACAAAGTAGTACTGCCCAGAGTTTGGATCCTGGAGGAGTTTTCGCTGAGTCATTGGGAAGGACTGTGTGACAATAGTGTGCTCGATGCTAGACTGGCGAGAAAGTTGGCTAGTGCGGCTTGACTGGCGAGACAGGGATGGTGCTTCAGTGCTGTATGTATCAATACTATGACTTCTTCTCAGAGGGTTTCCATTGCTTGCTTTGTTTCGGACTCTGCCTCTTTGCTGAAGCTCATTCACGAGGGACTTCTCAATGCGCTGACTCCTGGATTCAGGCTTCTCACTTGCAGACACATCAGCGCTGAGCCTGCGCTCTGCTTTACCTCCCAGGTACCTGTCAATGCTCTGTGAGCGGTGGAACGGCCTGTCCAAGGCGGGCCTCTCATCGACACTAGTTTTGTATACAGGCACGTTACTGATGACTCTATCACTGCTGTAATCCCTTTGTTTGGACTTTTCCTGCATGTGTCTGTCACTACTGCGGCCTTGTCTTTCTAAAGTTGGGCTAAGTAGAGCATCGTTGCTCTGGCTAGTGGTTTCCAGGGAATCTTGGCTCTCTCTTTGAGCTTTGAGAGTTTCCGCTCTTGTGTGATAGCTGTCCTCGGTGCAGCTTGGTATTAGCTCCTTTTGTCCATTGCCGTCATTACTTTGGTAACTATCATTATGACTGGGAGATTCTTTTATTTCTCTGTGTTTTTTCTCTCCATTCTTGTCAGCTTTAGCCCCTCTGTTGGTTTTCTGTTCTGATTTATCACTTTTGGATCGGTCCGATTTGTGTTTACTGCCACTTTGAGATGTCTTGTGAGACAACTTCTGGGCCTCCTCCTTCTTCATCCGTCTGTTAGTTAGCTTAATTGCTTTTTGAACAGCCTTGTCAGATTTGGGTAAGACTGCCGGTGGCTTCGGCAGCTCCGTTTGGCTATCGCTGCCACTACAAATGGATCCTGAACATTTGCTGGGAGCTTTTGTTCCTTCATTTTCTACTAGAACACCAGCGTTCATTGCAATTTCATCAGCTGTACTGGTCGTCGTGCTCTCAATGCCTTCAGAAGATGGAGTCACACTAGAAAACATGTCTTCTTCTAATGGGACAGTGAGGAAAATGCCAGCCGGGGATTTCTTCAGGTTTTCACTTTGAGTGTTTGATGGTGAAAGTAGCAGAGTTGTGGTGCTATTGTTGCCAGGAGTTTCATTACCTATAAGGATCCCTGGTGTTTCTTTTGTTTGATGTGACACTTCCTCTACCCTCTCTGAGATGTTCAGACTGGCTCTTGGAGACCAGGGAGCTACAGGCTTCCTCGTTTTGTGGTTGAAAGTGTTGTCTTTGACTTTAAACAAGGCTGGAATCCCCAACGTTGGAGAGAAAGCATCTGTGGGTGACGCTGCTGGATCACTTCCTACACGAGTTAGACTGCCATGCTTGTGGACATTCCCTTTGTCTTCACCGTCTATGTCCACCGACTCCTTTTGTGGAGACTTTATCTGCTGTTTTATTACCTCTAACTCCCTCTCCTGATCACCTACAGGATAACACTCCATAAAAGCTCTGTCCAAGTCCTCCTGTGAAGCCGACTGCCCTGGCCTACCAACTTCATCCATCTCTTGAGTTAAGTTCTCCAAAGAGTGGTAGACATTCGACTCAGTTTCAGTGTTTCTGTGGAAGGCACTCTCCACTGAGAAGTAGGAGGATTTTGAAGACAAGCTGGATTGATCTGGTGGGCTCTGGGCAATGCTGATACCATTTACCAGCAGTAATGGGGACACAGTGGTTCTGGGGACTTCACAGTGAACTTCTTCATCAATATTTATGCCCTCATTGCATACTTTGTCCAGTTCTTCTGCTTTTTGGCCTTTGGTTACATTCTCCTCTAACCAGAGTATGTGATCTGGTTTCAAAGGGGCCTTTCGCTTTTTCTTGCAGGTCTCTGGGGCATTAGCAATGGTAGTCTTCCTAGGGCTCGTGTTTAAGTCAAATCTGTTTGCCTTGCTTTGATTTTCTGGTAGCTTTGGTGATAAACATGGATGGTTTGAAGGTAATTTAGACTCCTGCCTATCTATATCTGGTACAGCAATCAGATTTAAATTAGCATCATTTACCTGCTCCTGACTCTGTTTGTATGACGGGCCTTCTCTCTGACTGGGCAGATCCTTACTGTAATCTAAGTCTTGTACATCTGAGCTCATGTTAATTATTTGCTCCTCGAGTTTTTCAGAAAATTCCCCTTTGGTAAAGACATCCCCTTCTGCATGTTTCTCTTCAGTGCTGCTTCCATCTCTTTTATTATTCCCTCCTTTTTTGTTCCTGGGGGGAACAGGAGGAGTATCAAACATTTTGTCGGTGCTTCCACTCTGACCACTTGACTTACTATGACCCTCAAAGTTGATCTCTTGAGCGGGATTATCAGCCAACTTTCCTTTAATTTGCTTGGGTTTTAGGAGTTCATTTACCTCGTCATCAACCGTGTCAATCCCTGACAACTCGACCCATCTCTGAGGCTCATCAGGTGGAGTTTGTAAAAAAATGTGTTTTTGCAAACTGTGCTCCCCCGAATCACCTGACTGTGTATTTAGCTCTGTAGTTGTAGCATCCTCCTCATCCGTACATGCTCTGATGCCTTTTTTATCTTCCTGCACCCATGTTTCGAAACTCTCACCTGTGATGTTCTCTTCTGATGTTACAGCTGAATCCTGCTCCTGGACATTTTTCTGTCTCTTCTCTCTCTCTGAGATGACTTCCTCTAGCGCCATTTTAGCTTTGTCATAATTGTCGTTTAGAAGTGCTCTGTTCACGATGACTTGACCGTCCACCTTTGAGAAACTCTCTTGCTTGCTCTGCTCCTTCTGCTTAGCAAATATTTTTCTCTTGGCCGAGGTGTTTCCTCTCATGGATAGCATTCCTCTTTTTATATTTTGAAGCTCCCTAGAGATTAAATTATTCTTTGCCTTCGCCTTCTCATCAATATTAAAAGCTTCTAGTTTGCGCCTAGTGTTATCAAGCATGCGCTCGCCGAATCGCGCTTTCTCTAACTCTTTCAAATCCTGCAAATCATTAAAAATATGTTCACTCTCTCTCATTTCTCTTAAGGCCATTTTGATGTCTCTCTCTCTTTTTGTGTTCGCATCCAAACTGCTTTCCTCACACTCCTTATTTTGTTCATCGTCTGTCTCTGCATATCTCTGATGTTTGATATAATTGTTTAGTTTAGACGAGAAGAGGTTTTTGGCCTGGTCTTGTCTCTGGGCAGGGCCATTCTCTTTTGTCAGTGAGTCGTGTTTTTCGTCCACAGAATCACCGTTAGAGCTTTTGTTAGCTTTACGCTTTTGCTGTTTGTCCAGAGAAGCTTGAAGGTCTGTTTTAGCAAAGTTTCTTTTTGGAACAGGTGGCGGCTCTTTGCTAACATAACTGCTTTTACTCACCAGTGTTTCATTTGAGTCATTTTGTGATAAAACGTTGCTGTCTGTGGCCGAACTTCCCCTCCTGCTTCCAAGCATTTCGTTTTGCCTCAGCTCTTGGGAGTCTGCCAACTGCTTGTTGATGCTATCTGGATAACTTGCTGACCTTGCTTTTCTGGCTGCATTAATTGCTTCCCGTGCAGCTCTGATCACGTTGATTGTATTTATGGTTTGGCCACTTGGGTCGCTTTCCTTCGGAGCCTCTTGCACTGTAAAGTCCTTCTCATTTGCATCTTTCACCACCCGTTTTGTTTTCTCTGGGACGTTTGGTGGTCTTTTTCCATCTGATGACAGCCTCGAATTCTCAAGCGTGTGGGGTGGAATTATGCGGGAATAATCTTTGATGACATTTAAAGTACTTGGTGACAGCCCTGTGTTTGTTGGCAGTACATTTGCAGGAAGCTCTCTGTCTTTTGTTTCAGTTGGCGCATCGGTTTTTACAGGAAGGCTGGTGCTCAGAGGTACTTGAAGGTATTTCATCCCGCTGTCGACAGGACTGGCTTTCTTGTACAAATTCAGAGAGGGGTAGTTTTGCTTTTTAGACATCGGGCTCTTGTTTTTCTTTGAGACCATAAAAGGAGAAATGGGGCTGCCATCTCCGTGACTGCTGCTGCCTACAGCATCCTGTTTAGACTGCAGTAGATTCAACAACAAATAATCATCTGACAGGGGCTTGTCACTATTGTGTTTTGTAAGATCATCATTTGGGGATGAAATAGCTTCTACAGGGGGACTGGAAAAAGGTGGACAATCTTTCAAAACGGCAGGCGTGCTTAAACCAGACCCACTGCCTTCGGAAGCAGTCCTAGTCACATGATCTGTTTGTGGAGATTGGGTGCCACCCTCAGGTGGATCAGACGCTTTGAATTTGGGTGGACTGTATCGGCTCTTGACCCTTTTCCTGTTGTCTTTCAGGTTAAAGAGGATGCTGGATGCGAGTGATTTGTAGCTTTCGCGCTTGACTGGAGGTTCAGGAGTCCCCTTGGCCTCAGAGTGAGGCCTACCTAGAAGATCAAGAGCAGAGGGTGAGAAGACTGCTTGGAGAATTTCTGATGTTTCTGTTGGCTGTCTGGAGGGAATGACAGGGGTCATCAGCTGGCAGATACTGAATGGAGTAGAGGCCAAAGAGCTGACCTCCTTAACTGCTTTCACTTCCACAGCTTTAGCTTCCTTGTGGGACAACAAAATACTTTCTTTCCTGACTTTTGAATTGCTCTCTTGAGTTGCTACTCCAGGGTAATTGGGTGGCACTGCACTTTTTGCCCTGGACTTGTTGCACCTCCAGGGGGCAGCATGCCCCTCTCCTCCATCTGAGGAGCACCTCTTCTCAGCTGGAGGGGCTGAGGGTTTTGGCAGACCCTTTAGTGCAGGAGGAGCGGGGATGGGTTTGGTAACTTTGGCATCAGAGGGTTCCACTGCTTCGATCTGGTGCGTCTTTGGCTCCTCTGAATGTAGCGTCTCTTTCCTGTGTGCCTCAGTCAGCTCTTTGTAAAAAGGCAAGTCATACCATTTAGAGATATTATCGGCTGAAAGAATATTGGTGACAGTGTTATCCTGAGCAAAGGGGTACCGGTTCAAGTCTGTCCACGTTTGAAAGGGACTAAACTCGCTGTGGAGGAAAAAGTTTTTAATGTTAAGCTTTCTTAGCTTGACAGCATATTTCCGGCTTTTAATCTTTGGTGATTTCCCAGATAAAAAGTTGTCATCTTTGCCTTTGCTATTTGATGAGCAACTGCCAGACTGATGAGGCAAACAGTTCTTGTAATGTCCATCTGCGAGGCTGGTGTGATAGTCAGAGAACTCGGACAGCTCTCTCTCGATGCTGCGCAGTGCAGATTTATCCCAAGATTCCCCATTGGCATCCATCACATCCCTGTTTGTGATTAACATCCCATCACAGCTTTCCTCTGCAGCACTTAGCACCTTGAGGAACGATGACATGTGGGATATGCTGTTCTGCTGCTGCTGTTTCAAAGGATGAGCATCCCCCTTTTCAGATTTGTGTTTACCTTTTTTAGATTCTGTTTGCTGAGTCTTTTTGAGCGGCTCTCCAACCAAAGGCTTGAGGCAGCTGTAAGGGGAGTATCCGTACAAGAAGTCATCGTTGTAAACTGCGTCATCGCCGATACAAAGGCTACGGAAGGCCCTGTCTGTGAGGGTGCTGACCTCTCGGTCCGTCTCATCCATGAACAGGTCCATAAACCCGTTGGGAAAGCGATGGTGAAGCATGCTCCCCATCCGGTGAGTCGTGTGCCGCTTTTCCAAACAGCTCATGGTAGCTTTGCATCACCAGTTGTTCAGCTCTGCAGACTCTTGACCTTTCGTTGGGTTCAGCCTGGCATCACAGATGTGCACAGATTTCTCTAATTCATCTGCAGAAAAGCAAACATGACTAGTGTCAGTTCTCTACCCTCTGCAGTGAACAGGCAGGTTTTACTTTAGAAATTCACCCAACATTTGCTTTATTCACACAATTTCAATCAACAGATTTGAACTCTGTGGTTGCACTGATGACCTTTATGTACACAACGTGTGGTGGCTCAGACCATGCTGCAGCTATGCATGTGGTAGACAAACACTTCAGACCATGCACCGGGCTATTTTAAGACATGTCTGCTTTAAGCTGTGAGCAGTAAGCAGAAGGCTGGTGGCTGTGAGAAAAAATATCTCAGTTTTTTAGGAAAATCATGTAAAACCTGAACATTTCTATGTGAACCTTTCAAAATAAAACACACAACAAGTACAAAGATAACCTCCACATCACGTTTTCCTTAAATACATGCAAACAATTAGAGGTTGTTGCATTAAATACATAAAATGAAAAATAATACGGGTCACAACCCACCTCTTTAGGCTCTACTGTATTACTTTAGCTAACTGGGTGAGTCTCAGAATAGTTCACTGACCCAGTTATAGTGTCAGACCTGAGTTCAGACCACTGACATATAGCTTAAGGACTCTACTGCACACTGAAAAACCCTCCCCTTTAGAAAAATGTAAGCTGTACTGAGAGGAATAGAAATGTCCCATGACTAAGTTATAGCTAAATATCTTAGAAGTGAGTAAATTAATCATTTGGTAGCAAAACATTTTTTTATCATGAAAACATTTTTTTAATGATTAAAATCTAAAGCTAGCATGTCAACTTATCAGACCTTAGTGACTTTACTGTATCTGAACTTACTGAAAGTTTTGGCTTTCTGATGCTCTTTGGTCGCCAAGGCATTTCTAGCTCTTATAACCGGAGATCAGTTAGCAGCTCCGGTACTTTCCCAGCATCTGCTTGTGTATTTATACTTGAGGCAGCCCAGTTACCCATAATGTAAAATAAATTTAACACTTGATTTTTTTTGTGTCCTTTATAGATGCTTAAATATACATGAAAAAGCACCTTTCTAAAGGTTTATATGACAATACAGAATGCAGACGTTTTTCCCACTCTTATTGACATCACTGTTCAAAACTTGTAGAAATGTTTAATGTGTCAGTGATCTTTAACGTAGATAAGTACATACCCAGGTTTGGTGCTTACCTTTGTGATGGGTGTTTCATGCTCAGGCCAAAGATTCAGTTTGTCCTAAGCACCGTTCCAAAGAGCAGAGTCCATGAATCCAGAGCAGCACCTGATGAGAACAGATCAGTTAAAGCTTCTCTGAAGTTTCCAGCTTCAGTTGGAAGTACAAAGAAAACTCACCTAAGTGAGTGAAGCCCTTGGATTCATGTTCGAATGCACTGGTGTGGCAAGGCTGAACACGAGCGCAAAAGATACCAAAATAGACCCACAAGTCGGCGTGGCCAAACTGAGCAGCAACACAGGACCCAGCTCGGTGGCTCACATTGGAAAAACCAGTGGGTGTCGAATGGCAAGGCAAGACAGGCCAGCAGGGTGAAATGGACACTGTCATTGGTTATTTTTGTATCTAAGCATTGAGATTTGATAGGCTCCTGCTTGGGCCTTCTTTTTAGTGTTTGGCACCTTCAAAAACATGACACCTCTTGTCAGGGAGGAGGCCGCATGGATTAGATTGGACAACACCATACGAGTGGGTTGAATTTACCTGGTTACACCACTGGACTATAGTTACCAGCTAACTTATTTATGCCTGAGTCACCCAAAGAAACAAGCTTCTGATTTAGGCCATTGCTTCACACGGTCCCTGAAGGGGAGACCGGTGGCTGGAAGCCGGACAATCGGAGGGATGGACTAATTCTTGTTGTTTGAGGCTCTGTTTACATCATGATGTGAACATGTGAGACCGGCTCGTCTCGTTTTAGGACTGATGCAGCTGTTGTTGCTGTGAGACTATGCAGAAGTGAAAGAGGGGGGACTTTATTTACTCTTTGTGATTCATTGAAAATCAGTAGGTGACATTTCAAATGACGTCTGAACCCCCTGTGTTCCAAATGGAGTCTAGCTTTCTAGAGCCATTATGTGGCTCAATACCTTTAACCTAAAGCACTGTGACCAAACATTTCATGTGAAATTGTACACGCAGGCCAAACATTTTTATTTTTATTAAATTAAAATGCAAAAACTCGATAGTGATCTATAAAATCCATATGTCATAGATCACTGTAAGATGTTTTCATTTTACTGCTGATTATGAATCTGGTCTAAAGACAACAGTTACTTTGTGCTTCATTAATCACTTTTACCGAACCACTAAAGCATTAAAATGACTCCCAGGTAAAAATAAAGAAGCATCCAGGTGTTCTTTTGAAGCTGATCTATTTTTGTCCTGTTGTATATCATAGGGTCACAGCCTGGCTCTGCATTCTGCACCTTTCACACAGTTAGGCCTCACACTTGATAATTCAGACTTCTTTTGGTTTTGTTTCTGCAGAAAACAGTCCAAGGAGAGACACATTAACAGTGTCTTGATCTGTTTTGTTGCACCATCATTAAGATTTTAATTACATGTTATAAAAACATTCCCAAACTATATATATTTATCTATAAAAATGTTAAAACTGTATTTTTTTTTTATTTTGGTGTGCTCATTTAAAACATTCCTACATTTGTCGAGGACTCACTTGACAGTCTGAGCGGGAAATATGGTGCCTAATTCATCTCTGATGAACCAAATCCAGTAGTAAAAGGAGAGCCATAGTTCTCCTTCGGCTAACATGTGCTTCTGCAAAAACAATTATGCACATTAGACTACAAAAACAAGCTCCAATCTAGTTCATTTACATATAAACGTTTTCTTGTAACAACTATCAATGGTGGTTGGACTTTAAATGCACAAAAATAAGCCATAAATATTGTTTCTACTATCAACGTACTCACCCATTGTTGATCCAAACACTTGCTGACATCTTAACTCAAATGATAGGCAGATTAAACAGTTCTTCTCCAAGCTTCTTCCACACACTGATTTGTTTGGCTCAAACTTCCGCATTTTTTTTCGGACTGTATCGCGAGGACATGAAAATCCTGCGCATGCTTGTTTGCGCACCTTGGGTCTTCGCACCGGAGCGGAGACTAGTAAAAATTAAGTTCGGGGGATGACCGGAGCGGAGCGGAGGTAGCGGAATTTGGGGGTAACATGTGCGTGTGGGGGGGACTAGACAAGGAAGGTCATGCAAACTTCACACAGATGGGCCCCATTGGAGTTGAACCAGAGATCCTGCTGCGAGGCATGGGGACATTAAATGTAGTTTTTGGTACACTAACTTAAAATGCTTCAATTTAAACCTGTTATGGCGAATCTGTAGAAGAAGCTAGGTTTTGAACGCAAACACGGTCACGAGCCTCACCCCTCACCTCAGGAATCTTGACTGAATCCGGCTTTATATGAATCGGAAACTTGCGATGGCAGAGGAAATGAGCTGGCGCTAAAGACCATTTGCTATTTTTTTTAGATCCATATGTCTGTGGTTGTCTGTGTTCAAATGGGGTGTTTCTCAATGCCAAGGAACCTCGCCTTGATGTCTTTGCCCCGCCCCATTTGCCTAGGAGATACGTCATCAGTAGCCGCCAAGACGTGCTCCAATGTTCATGATCTACCAAGGCGTGTGTTCTCCGTTTGTTAGCCGTTTAGCTAGCTGAGCAACGATATACGGGAGGCGTCTGGTAGCTTAGCCTTGGTCAAAAATTACCCACAATACACCACAGTATTTTCAAAAGGACGGCGGATCAGAAGCCGGCAGATGCTTCGGGGGCAAATTTCAAATTTAAAAGTAAGTCAACTAATTTCAAGTGTTTTTTTAGATCCAAAGAAGTTATCAGTTGTTGGTTAATTGCTTAGTAGTTGCAGCTTCGGTGGCTAGCAGGTAGTAACTCACTTATATTTTTAATTTAATAAACATATACACAATTTAAAAAGTTAAAGCCTCGTTATATATTTATAGTGAAACTACTTCGTATAAAATATAACGTCATCTCCCGTGTCACATGACGTTACGTGACTGCCGTGGAAGCCGCGGTCACATGATGCAAGTCTGTTCCATTTAACCGTTTTCTTTGACCAAAGAAGGACAGTATCCTCGTAAGCAAGGCACCTGGCCCTGCAAGACATCGCCTCGCAAGGCAAGGCGCCTTGACAATGAGAAACACCCATGGTGTTTTTCTTTTTGGGACTCTGCTAATTTGTTCTAAAGTTGAAGTGGTAGCAGCCGACTGTTTCTCCTTCTCTGGTGTTTTTGAGCAGAGAACCTCACACCAGTGGTGTTCTGGTGCTAGTTACGTGAGTGTGTAATGCTGGGCCCAGGAACATGCAGAAGTGCGGCAGTTCGGCCAGACCGACAACCAGATGCTCCAATTTAATTCTTTTTTTTTTTTTTAATCTCCACATTATATTTATAGCTATACTATGTTAGATAGTTGTTGTTAAGAGGCATTAAAAAGTTTTAAATTAATTCATTTTCCAAATTTGTCATTGCAGTTTCAAAGGCCCCGTGTGTGAAATCCGTTGAAATCATGATGAAAAAATGCGACTCTTTAGCGCCGTGATGGCGGGATGGAGGAAGAAAGTATTGCAGCTATGGTGGCTCACTCATGAGTTTGACTGTATAATGGATTTCGAACCTGTGTAGCCTAACCCACACAAAGCTTAAAACAAGCTACTCGACCTCTTTAAAAAAGCATTTATAATTATGACTGTTTATCAGCCTACCAGTTCTGAAGGAAGCAAGCAAGTTCTGTTAACATTGGAGCACCACAGGGGACTGTACTCTCACCATTCCTTTTCACCCTGTACACCTCAGAGACCTAACCCTCCAAAACATGAAAGTTAACAGTTGAGATATTGCATTTTCATTTAAGATAAAATGATATTTTTATTTTGTTGTTGGCCCGTGAGAAAAGATGTAACCTACAGTAAACAGGAAGTGGAAAGGCTGCAGATAGATTAATAGAATAGAAAATCCCTTTATTGTTCCTCAGTGGGGAAAGCTAGATGTCACAACAGCGATGACACTTATTGCAGGAGGAAAAAGGAGAATAAAAATAATAATTAACAAGAAAACATAAATCCTGAATAGATTTTAAAAATGCGAAATATACCACAAGTAATGAATACCACTGATGCATTTTATTTAAAACTGACTTGCTCGTGTGTAATTTGGTTATTCCACATTCAGTGTTAATGCAAAAGTAAGTTTGTTTCCAAATTAAAAGGTTCAAATTGCATATATGTTGATAAAGAAAATGTGCAAATATCCCGTCACTTTTTCAAAAAATATTAAGTTTAGCCCGTGACTTTGTCCCAGATTTCCATTTCAGCCCAGTGTGAATTTGAGTTTGACACCCCTGCCTTAGACCCTGGATCACACATATGTTGTACTGCAATTTAAATGAAAACTATAGTTTTATATGGTTAAAGGACGAAAAACAATCTGAGAGCTGCAGATTGTTTTGTGCCATGGATTTCACGAATGATGTCCATGAATATTAAAGACATATTTTAAAACCAAGAACGTGCTTTTTTTCTAACAGGGGGAAACGCTATTTGAGGTTTTGTATGAAAATAAGTCCAGGCCCACAAATGTGCTTCACAAAAGTGACATCATCAAACCAAACATGGAGAGAACTGAGGGAAAAGGGCTGTAAGTTCTGCAAACTTTCCACAGAAGGAAGGAACCACCATGAATCTGACCATTTGGTAAGTATCAGCTACGTTAGGGGAGAGGAGATGATGTGGTCACGTCACATATGTGACGTGCCGATTTATGCTGTGTAGTAATGCTAATTACGAACTTTACAAGCTGATAAATCTCAAAGTACGTGACTGGCGTGGTTGAAACACCCATCATTACTTTTCATTTAAAATGCAGTACAACATATCTGCGATCCAGGACGTAACTCAAAGTGGATTAGAAAATAGCATTTTTAGCCCATTGACTTGCATTGGCCGTGTTCGAGATGAGGCAGTTCTGCGCAGATTAGATCACCGGTGATTGGCAGCCCACCGTCCCCACTATAGATAGTGTTGGTAGCACACTGTCCCCCCCCCCCAGGCACTGGGTGGTGGACCAAAATCTCCTCGAAGCCGTACGGAAGTGTTCAATTCAATTCAAGTTTATTTATATAGCGCCAAATCACAACAAGAGTCGTCTCAAGGCACTTCACATAATAAACATTCCAATTCACAGTTCATTAAGCCAATCAGAAATAATGTTTCCTATATAAGGAACCCAGCAAATTGCATCAAGTCACTGACTAGTGTCAGTGACTATACAGCAATCCTCATACTAAGCAAGCATGCAGCGACAGTGGAGAGGAAAACTCCCTTTTAACAGGAAGAAACCTCCAGAGAATCCTGGCTCAGTATAAGCAGCCATCCTCCACGGCTCACTGGGGATCGAGAAGACAGAGCAGGCAGACACACACACACACACACACACAC